CAAAATGAATGCCAAGTTAAATGTTCGCTTGGAAATATAACTGGATGAGAAGAAGATGTCTCCATTCAGGTAATGTCATAAATCATGAGCCATGAAACGTCAGGGGTATGCTTGGCAGTTCAAAAATTCTGACAAACAATGAATGTTTTAACGTGCATAATTGAAATTGGAAAGCTGAAAATATCAGCTTAAGGCAAAACGCAATTATGTAAAATAATCAATAATCAATTATGTAAAAATATAGCGTTTGAATAATTTTAATCAAAACTGTGTCCGCGCACACAATCAATTCTGAGCACATATCCAAACAGGCACGAAGTGATTTATAGGTAACAATGTTCTACTCTCGAAGGCCAAAAGACTTTAACGGAGAGCTTTTGCCGATCTGCTGCCAGCCTCAGCTATAGTAGATTAGTAGTGTACTTGTATAGATTGGCAAATACCATTCAAACTAGGAATTACTGTACCTCCATACAACTCTCAATAGGACTGGCGTGCTTCTGCTGCTGTCTGCTGTAATCCCATTGTTAGCCCCACAGCATAAGCAGTGACTTACGCATAAAATTGACCCACGAATAGGCCTTACAAACCAATCTAATGCTTGTTTACGAAACCATATAAAGCACCGATTATGCACGTCTCCATATAAAATCAATCCCCTTTAATTTGTCCAGAATGATTATCAATTTTTTTATTTAAAAAAACACAACGTGCAATTTCCCAATACGATTTGCGGGACATCAAATCTGTATTACTGGTAAAGCTTTTTTTCAGCAACCACTTTCTCCTTGCTGATGATCCATTGCCACAAACATCTTGGCCTTCCTTTGGTCTTCTAGTAGTATACATGCCTCCAAAAAGTGTTCATCATCCAAGTCTGGTGCTGTTTGAAGTGCAGCAACAATGCTTTCTTTAGAGTTGTAGTCTTTTGGCTCTTCATTTCTAGTCGCAATTTTTACCACTGTCGGCTTCTCTTCCAAATCTTCCATCTTCCTATCTATTAAGTTTCAATGAACTTTCCTAGCAAATAAGGAAGTGGACACAGATGGGGATTTTTGCTGCTTTATCCTAGATGTTCAAGATTCCGTGGTATTTGATAACAAGTCTTCCGCGGCCTCATCAACCTCCAAACCAATATAATTATTACTGATCTTTGATTTCACTTGCACACAGTTTGGTCACGCATTCTTGTCAAGATTCCTAACAGTCAAGCACAAATCATCATAATTTTCAAAGACAGTCTCTTCATATTTAATAGCATCTGGATGCTTCCTGCAAAATGTCATTTATCGGGGCTTGCAAATTTATTAATTAAGGCTCCTTACATATATTAAAACAACAACAACAACAAGCCTTTATCCCACTAAGTGGGGTCGGTTACATGAATTGCAAGACGCCATTGTGTTCTATCATTTATCAAGCTTTTAGGAATATTATTAATTAACAGATCGCGTTCAATAACTTCCAAAAGTGTTCTCTTAGGCCTTCCTCTACCTCTCTTAATTGGACTCAAAGTTATATGTTTCACTCTTCTCAATGGTGCCTCCCTTAGTCTTCTTTGTACATACCCAAACCATCTCAACCGATTTTCTACCATTTTTTCCTCAATAGGTGCCACCCTTACTTTTTCGCGTACGTGCTCATTTCGAATTTTATCTTTACGTGTATGTCCGCACATCCATCGTAACATTCTCATCTCTGCTACCCCAACTTTATGCTCTTGCTGTCCCATTAGAGCCCAGCATTCACTACTATATAACATTATCGGTCTGATAGCAGTGCGATAAAACTTTCCTTTAAGTTTATTAGTTACCTTATGGTCGCAAATATCTCCTTTAGCTTTTCTCCAATTAAACCACTCAGCTTGAATTCTATGTAAAATATCTCCACTAATTTCGCCATCATTTTGAATAATGGCTCCTAGATATCTAAACTTTTCTACTTGAGGTATAATTTGATCTCCCAATTTCACTTTCAAATTATTGTCGAATAGTCCTTTACCAAATTTACAATATAAATATTCCGTCTTACTTTTACTCAGACGAAAACCTTTCTACTCCAATGTCCTCCTCCATAACTCAAGTTTGCAATTAACCTCTTCTCTTGTATCTGCTATAAGAACTATATCATCCGCGAAGAGCATACATTTCGGAATTTCCCCTTGAATATGTTCCGTCAAAACATTTAAGATCAAGTTGAACAAATAAGGACTCAGAGATGATCCCTGATGTAGTCCAATCTTTATAGGAAAATCCTTTGTTTGACCACTAGACGTTCTTATACTAGTTTTTACCCTCTCATACATATCTTGTATGGCTTTAATATAAGCAATCCGTACTCCCTTTTTTTCTAACGCTTTCCAAAGCACTTCTCTTGGTATACGGTTATAAGCTTTTTCCAAATCAATAAAAACCATGTGTAGATCTTTATCTTTACAACAATACTTTTTCATTAATCCCCTTAGTAGATAAATCGCCTCTGTAGTTGATCTACCTGGCATAAAACCAAACTGATTCTCAAAAATACTTGTCTCCAATCTCAGCCTGTGCTCAATTACTCCTTACATATATTACACAAATTCAATTTGTTCAATCTAGAGCAGGCCTGTCAATAAAAATGATTTTAGATTTTAAAAAATATTATGAGGAGCAGGTATAGGTGCCTTGAGAGTAATATGTCAACATGCAAGTGAGAAGCAGGCACATTTCGATTGAATTGAAGCCTTCTTCCTGTTACGTACATGAAGCAATTGACTAAAGGAAGAGAAATGCACCTCAAAATAAACATCCCATTCTGATCTTTGAAGCTTCATTAGCTCTCACTGCATGCTGAATGTCATTCCAGGAAATGCCATTCTGATCAAGATGTGTCATATCTTTGAAGACCTTCACAATGCTCGAATATCGATCTTCTAGAGCATATTTGTCATAACAAAGTCTGAACTCTTTGTTGAATGAAGCTGTCATCCAGAGCCAAGCTTTCTCGCTGAATGAATCACTATTCTCATTTCCTTTGTTCAACTGCTCCAATAAAAGGGCAATCAGATAACGGTCCATATTTACTATCCAAGCTATTCTCAATGGATTGCTGCTAGCAGGTGATCGATTGCATTCTTTACTACCTACATTCAAGGAATTAATAATACAATTTAATTACATTTAACCCTCAAGTTCTTGATGTCGATTCTATTAATAACCACAGGCCTTATCCTACTAGGTGGTAATGTAGATTTTATTAACAATTAACGAAATTAATTATAATTACTTGGGGTACACGTGTTTATGCATTAGAAGGAGGGGGAAAGGGAGCAGCCAACGAAGGGAAGATATGGAATGTTACCAATACTCAGATTATTATCCACCTTACGCCTATAGAAAGTAGAATAGTCTCGATTACATCATTGTTGGTATTTCCATACATAAAAAACAAATCATTAAAGATTGGAATTAGAAGCGATCTGTTACAGTACATCTTTACAAATAGGTATTCCTGCAGAAATACGACTCAGAGAAAGACCAATACATACAATTATGATCAATAAAATATCTATTTAAGTTTTAATAATAATTTATTTTAAATTAACAATAATTTATTTAGGCTTTAACGAGTTTAAAAAACATATAAGATGAGTATAATTGTACATGTCAATCTTTTATCAATAAGCGTTGATTCGGGTTTTAAAGAAACTCATTTTAAATTAACAATAGTCGATTTAAGTTTTAACGAGTTAAAAAAATGGATAAAATGAGTTTAATTATATAAGTGTTAGTCTTTCATCAATAAATATACATTTAGGTTTTCACAACAATTCATTGAAAATTAACAACAATCTATTCATGTTTTAACAAGTTAAAAAACTGATAGAATGTATTTAATTGCACAAGTGTTAATCTTCCATCAACGAGTATACATTTAGTTTTTTATAACAATTCATTAAAAATTAATAATAATTTATCCAAGTTTTAACAAATTAAAAAAATTGATAGGATGTGCTTAATTGTATGTGTTAGTTCTTCATCAACAAGTATCTATTCGAGTTTTAACAACAATCTATTATTGATTAATAACAATACATTTGGACTTTTAATAAGTAACATGTATGAAATTTTAAACCTCCCAATTTATAATTATCCATGTTAGATTAATAAGTAATATTAGTAAAATGACAATTATCGTTCAAAAATTAACAACACATTGTTATATTATAATATGAAAATGGTTAAAAGTTTGGTTCACTACTTATATTTTTTGTAGCCATATATAATTAAATGGCTTGGTAGCCATAAGTCATGAGATTAAACTCTCCCTTAGCTATCTAAATCAAATATTTCTTAAAAAAAAATGTCACCGATATCAGAGCTTTGACCTTCGGCCTTCGGCCTTCGACCTTCAACAACTCTGCCAGTGGCAAGTGCTTTGGTGACCTTGCTGTCGGCAAGGGGTTCGGTGACCAACAACAATGAGGGTTAGCCTTTTAACTTTACAGGCAATTTTGTCTTCTAACATAACAAACTAACATAAATCAATAACTAAGAGACTGCATTGTAATTTTTAAGCCAATTGATCCTTGATTGATATTAATTTCTATCAGTAGTCTTTCAATGTTATTGCTTGTTATAGATATGTTTAGTTATTTTTCTTAAATTATAATTATAACATAATTCATTTGTCTTAAATTATGAGGTATTTTTGAAGAAATTTTTTAGTTTCAAAATATAAAATATTTTGAATAAATTAAAATTTTATTAAATGTACTAAATCCAATATTACTCTTTCTCTTTATAATTAATTTCATTTTTTTAATATATTAAATGATGAATATTTTTATTTTAAAAAAATAATATTGTTAAATATATTTAAATAAATTTATTGATATATAAAATTTTATTTAAAAATATTTTATAATTTGGCAAGAATAATAGCTTAAAACTTAAGCTTGATTTTTTCTATAATTATAATTATAATTATTAATTATAAATACAAACCATAACCCCTGCCACCAGCAAGAAGTAGGGATTGTTTTTCCTTCGGAGACGACGAACAGGCATTCCACACTTGGCCGAGCTCGCCGTTCGCCTTTGTTAGCCCTGCGCGATTGTTCCTGGCAAGTATTCAAAGTTCGAACCCTATGGCGGTCTACGTGTTCAATCTGGCTTTTAACCTGGATTTGAATCTATTCGCTGCGTCATCTGTTCCTTGCGCGGCTGTCAACCCTGCGTTGGACGCCGTCGCACCATTTCTTGCTTTGTTTTAAATTTTTCATTTTAATTTGGCTTTGAATCCCGTCGTCTAATCGTTTGAATACTGACGCTTTTGGATAAAGATTGATAAAGATTGAGTTTACTTTTTTTAACGGAACTTTTGTTACTAGTTTTTGTTTCAATGGTGTGCAATCGGCTATAATACTTCTTCCCTCTTCATTTTGATTACTAGCAACTTATGTGCTTTGGATTGTTTTGCTTTGCAATGTTGGATTTTTTGTGTATGGGCAGTCTGTGTATTAATCTGTTTGTATTATCATCTATTTAGAAAATTCTTAAGGTATGCGTGATGCATGATCTGGTAAATGAGTTGGCTCGAGTCGTGTCCAACAATTTTGAAGCTTGAGTTTGAGTAGTCATTCTTCTGTGGCTTGTAGGACTTGCCTAAAAAAACTGAATGGATGTTATATCAATTATTCATATGTCAAGGATTCCAGTACTGAGTGTAACATAGGTCCGCCTATGCTTCCCAATTGACTAATCACCTTCCGTTGTACTTATGCTACAGAAACCATGGCAGATGAAACACATGATACGAAGGAGGAGGTTCCCGAAGTAAGTATTCTTTCCCTCAATTATTTATGATTTTACAACGTTGTTCTGTTTTGTGTTTCGGTTGATTAGCTCTACAGGGATTTTTTTGTTATGGTCTTTAAGTTGCTTTTCTCATGTTTCACTCCCTGGCAACCCCGTTCATCTGTTACCGCAATTATCTGTTTCGCCAGTTCTTCAAAAACCACTCCCTTCTGAGGACTTAGTTGTTGAATGACAGATTGTCCCATTTGATCCTACTAAGAAGAAGAAGAAGAAGAAAATTACAATTATAGATCCTGCTGATGATTCAGTGGATAACTTGGCTGAGAAGACGGAAAACTTGTCTGGTATCTAATTTAAACTAAAAGATATTTTTATTATTGCTGCTGATGTCTTCATTTGAGATATCTATAATTGTGAACTTGCATGATTCATTCTCATTTTTGTAGTTTCGGACGGAGTTGAGACTACATTTTCTGGTTTAAAAAAGAAGAAGAAGAAGCCAGTAAGATTCAATATTCATGTTGGATAATTTTTACACAATCTCTGCGGCAGCCATTGGAAACATAGGAATTATATGGGAGCAATATGGTGCATGTTTTTTGATTGCAGGTTGAAACTAGTAACTTTACTGATGAGGGTGGAGATGCAGCTGAAGATTTGGATGGTAAGCAGTTAGCTTATTTATTGCTGTGCATTAAACTGAACTCATAGACTGTATGTTTGTTATACCCTTGATGTCAAGTGAAGTTAGCCAAGTGAGTTATGAGTTTCTAATAAATTTTCTTGGCTTAGTTCACTCTGGAGAGGATGAAGGAGAAGAAGATGCCTTGGCCCCTTGCTATCCTTGGGAAGGCAGTGACCGTGATTATCAATATGAGGAGGTATGTTCTATCTCACATCCCTTCTGCAATTATTAGCCTCTCCTTGTCTCTGTCCTGGATAAATGTTTTGGAAATTACTTAATCACTTAGTCCCATAAAAAATTCTAAGATTTTGAGCTTTTTATGCCATTACAACTTTTATACTTTTACGAGTCATAGTTGCCGTTTAGGCCTTTGAATGGACTTATATTTTAGAAGCTTCTTCTTGATTGTGGATTTAGTTTTTAGCATGACTCGTGAGAATTCTTCAAATGGAATCACACTAATGATATGCCTGAGTTGTTGTGCTTTGTGGGTACTTCTGCTTTGGTGAACTTTGAAATTTAAAGGTGCCTTATCTTTGTTGGAGCAAGTGCTGTCTCCCTCTTTGGGTGCCCCTTTGCTTGTTTTGGCAGGCAAAATTGAATAAAATTAGAATATAAAAGTGGTTATGGCAATTAACCCTTGTTTTCCTATTTTAAATTTTAAAATAGTTATAAAAATGGATAGAACCTGTTAAAATAGTGATTACATGAGCATAATAAACATTGCTGAATAAAGGAAGGAAAGGGAATCCCTTTGCCTTCATCATAACTAATGTAGGTTTCTCTGATTAATAACCACCTGGTACGCCTGGATTGGATGTTTTCTGAACTATCTTATCTTTGATTTCTTTCCATTTCATAACTTTTCCATAGTTAATATACTTTGGGTTGTAAGTTTTGTGAAGTTATCTTGAATTTATTGAAAGGGTTATATTAGAGATCAATTTAATCATCGCATGAAAATGTTGATTTAGCTTAGATGATTCATTTGTAACAGGTTGAGGGCAAGTGTTTTATTTCTTTATTTTTAGCGTTTCATATCAGTTGTTAGAGGAAGCTTGGTTCAGTTGTCACTGGTGTTAGTTATTGACCCGTCACCATATTATGGTAACTGACTTGGAGTTTGATTTTCTATTTTATGATGTTTTTTTCTGCAGCTTCTTGGAAGGGTGTTTAACATTCTACGTGAGAATAATCCAGAACTGGCTGGGGATCGTCGGAGAACTGTCATGAGGCCTCCTCAAGTTCTTCGTGAGGGCACAAAGAAAACTGTTTTTGTGAATTTTATGGACTTGTGCAAAACGTATGTTGATCTTTTTTCTGTCATTCTCTGCAAATATATGATAAAAACACATATCCTTTTGATATGAGATGAGAGGCTGAAACAAGATTTGACTTACTAACTCCATTATATAGTTTCTCACTTAAATGCCTTCAAATTTTAACAATGATTGTATTTTTATTTTTTTGGGCTTTCCTCTTATTTGTTGAGATCATTTGGTAAGTTGATGCCTTGATGGAATCTAATATCTTCCTTTCTTGATTCATTTACCTTGTGTTTTTGAGTTTTGTTTAATCTTTATTTCTTGTGTAGTGACTTCTTGTGGGGGATGTGTCTTTGAGTGGAGTGTGTGTGTGTGTGTGTGTGTGTGTGTGTGTTTTCAAATGCATGTGGTTTCTTAAACTAATGCATGGAATTTGTGGCATCAGCCTTCTATATTTGTGGGCCTTTCGATGAAAATGTTAAGAGATGATTTGTGAATGCTTGCAAAATGGAGTTTGAAGAAGTTTTTAATACTACCAACTTGATCATCTGATGTGGAGTTATGATTGGGAAAGCAAGAGAAAGGAGAGGAAAGGGAGGGAATAGAGAGAAGAGAAGGCGAGAGAGAATAGAGAACAGAGAGCAAGAGGGAAAGGGAACTCAATTCATTATCCTAGCCTAAATACAATTAGCTGCGTCATCTATATATAGCGACTGCCATTAGCATCCCTAATGGGCAATGAATCCTAAATCTCAACTACCCTTGACTAGCTCTCCTTATTACAAGTACATAAAATACCCTTCTTCCAAGAGACCCTTGCCCTCGTCAAGGTAGCCTAGTCAATTAGAGTAACTCCAGTCTTACAGCATAATAGTTGTAATCGAGAGTTGCATCAAATGGTTGCAAGTCGCTAGATGTTGTTAGGAAGTGTTCCACTGCGTGTCGTGTAGCAAGTCTTCATCAAATGATACTGGGCTTTCATCAATTGACACGTCATAGAACCTTTGTAGGCGCACAACCATATCCCTTAATATGCTTTTCTTTTTACCAGGCTGGAGCTAAAATTGCTACGGCTATATTGCCACTTCTTCATCCCTTTTTCTTCTTTCTCACTTCTGTGTGTCAAGCTTTGGGAGTATTCAGTGGCCTACTGTTGTTCAAATGGAAACCTACTGTTCAAATGGAAAAGTCAAATGTACAGGTGGCTAGCAAAGGGAAAGAGAAAGCAGAGGAAAGGGGGCAAAGAGAGAAGGGGAGGGGATAGAGAGAAAGAAAGCGAGAGGAAAAAAAAAGAGAGAGAACAAAGAGTGAGGGAAAGGAAACTCAATTCATTATCCAAGCCTAATTGCAATTGGCTGGGCCATCTATGTATATAGCCTCTGTTGTTAACATCCCTAATGGCTAATAAAATCCTAAGTCCCAAATACTGTTAACTAACCCCCTCTTCTTATTACAATTACATAATCTTTCACCGTTATCTTCACTGGAAGTTTGAATGAAATGTTGTTAGTTCTATGGAGTTTATAAGGGTAGTTATCTTTTGTTTGCTTTGTATGCTAGCTGAACGCCTCTGCCTGTTATGTGTATGTGCATTGCCCTTCATATATCTTGAGTAATAAGTTTTGACACTGCTATGAAAACTGATTTTTCCCATTTCGGCTGTTTTGTTGTTAGGATGCATCGACAGCCTGACCATGTCATGGCATTTTTGCTTGCTGAACTGGGTACAAGTGGCTCGCTAGATGGACAACAGAGATTGGTTGTGAAGGGAAGATTTGCACCAAAGAACTTTGAAGGAATTTTGCGCGACGATACATCAGTATGTGTTTCTGTTTAATGTTTGATATTTGATAGAGAATCTGTTGAATCTAATAAATGTAAACTGCATACGTTTCTGCAACCTTGTGTGATTGAGAATGTTTCTGAAATGAGCATAGAAATTCTCTTAATGGGTTAAATATTGTGTTTTGGGTGCGTGCATCGTTAGCAGTAATTTGTAAAAATAGAACGTTTGAATAAATCTGGAGTTTGTGCTTGCATTTCTGTTCAGTCTTCTTTATGGAATAGAATGATGAGGCACTCCTTCTGGATCTTGTTTATTGTGTTGATGTATTTCTGATCATTTTGAGATTGTTGATTGAAATTTTCTCAGATGAAATGTCATTTGCATTGGATGCAAGAGTCCAGACACAATACTTTCAAAGGAGAACCGTCTGTTCTTTCTCCGATGTGAGAAGGTAAAATCTTCTTGCATGTGCCATCTCCTTCCTTTTACGGGATGCTAGTAGTCTATTGTTACTAAGTAATTTTTTGAAATGAATCACTATAGTTTCTATTCATAATGTTTGTGAAAGGTTTGGTTTTCCATCAATGTGGATTGTATTTTAACCAATTGATGTGATTACACGTGATCTTTTGGGTACACTTTTTTCCCTCGGATATGCTACATGAATCTAATACATGTGTTGATTTATTGCAGTGTGGATCAGGGAGATCAGTTGCTCCCATCAAGGCTGGTTTTGTTGCTCGTGTTGGCCGTAGGAACGCAGGGGCATGATTCAGTCATGGTTTGCCATATTTATATAAAGACGGGTTGAAGAAATGGATCTTGAGTTGAAAAATGAGTTACCTTTGTATCGAGTTTCGAGTAACCGAATCTTCTCTTTTCTCGTTTTGGTCGATGTGTAGGAACTGTATCGTAGTGCTGTTTCCGCTAGAGTAAATTTTTTCAATCCTATAGGAGGATTAAACCTTGTATTGCTAAAATCTATCATGCCCCATCTCAATCATATTCCCAATATTTTTATTTTCATTTCTAAATTTATCAATTTTGCCTAGAAAATGTAACCCATGTGAACGTGATGATTGAAGATGGTGATGATGGGAGCCATAATTTAGAGCATACTGAGCAATAATGAGAGATTGGGAGTGGGGGCAATTGTCAAAAATTCATTTAAGGGAAGTCCATTTGGCTAGTGACTGGGGAAAAAGGGGTTTGCTTTTGTCATGCAACATTTACACAGCCAATCTATTCGGGGAAAGTCCCGAAAATCCAACGCTAGCTGAGAAGGAAATGATTTGCATTTGAAAAAAAAGGTTTTTTTCGGCTAAAAAATTACTATTTTAAATGCCAGAAGTTCATCCTTTGATGACAAACTTCTGGCGCATGAAAAAAGCGAGGGAGGAAATTTATGTCGCTGTCCGTGGAGGCGCTTTATGGAAGTGAACAAAGAAACTAATGCCGGATTATCGTTCAAGTTCCAACCGTCCAGATAATCATCACAGTTCATTCGTTAAGCACCTAAACCTAATCCATCAAAAACA